CCCCCAAACTAGATGAGTGGTTGCAACAGATCCCGGGAACAAAATCGGACATCTCAGTCCAGAAATGTGCAGTGCTGGGAACAGCAAGGATACTGCGCAGAACCCTCAGGCTTCCTGGCCTCTGGTAGAGGACCCGAGCTGAATGGGGGACGGACACCACCCGAGGGGTGAGACGAGGATTTTTTATTTTTTTTTTAATATGTATATATATGTGTGTGTGTGTGTGTGTGTGTGTGTGTGTGTGTGTATGTATCGCAAAATATTTTCAGGAAAGTCCACTTTTCATCTGACTGATCCCTCATCCATGTGATTTATTTATTTATTTATTTTTGTCAAAATCAAACCTAAGCACGAGGACGGTGACACCCGACCGACTAATACAGCATGCTCGGAAAGTCAAATGAGAATGTTTTGATTAGTACCACTTTTTCTCGTTTATCCTCAAACACATCCATTAATAAAATCAGTGCACAGTGATTTTTCCGAACATCTTATATAGTTCAGTTTAATTCACTTAATTCCCGTTATTTTCAGGAAGGACTTTTTTAATAGCGGTGTTGTGTATTTTTTTTCTATACGTTTTTTTGTTCTGCAGGACATTTTGTCAGGTTATGAAGACTCGCTCAGTTTGTCATCGCAGTCTGGAGTCATACTGCAAAACCTCAACTCCAAGTCCCCACAGGCGGCTGTTGGTTTGAGTTTTAGCTCTGGTCAGTCCAGTCCTGGGTTGACTGTCTCTGTGTCCTCCAATGGATCAACCCATGATGTAACAGTCAAGCACAACACAATCAGTCTAACACTATCTTTGAAGGCTGAGGAAGAACAGGCAAGTCCCATTTTGAAGATGATGATAAGATCTTGGAAATGAAATAATTGTAATTTTATTAAACGGTGTTTCACTTTGTATTACTTTTTGTGTTTCCTATTTTAATTTGCTAAATGGAATTTTCCTGCGTACATCAAAACTCATGTGAATTGACATAGTTAACATTCAAAAAGTGTGATTTAATTAAAGCTGAATATCTTGTGATTACTTACATGAATGAAACTCTTTGGAACTCTTGTTTCCATGCTTTCTTGACGTCAGAATGATGATGAAAACCACCAGGCTCCAAAAAGCAATGTCGATGAAATCATCAGTCCCTTGTCCTCGCCAACTATGTCCTTGCTCTCCCCTGAAGCCATGGCGATGGCTGGATCCATTCTTACATTTGAAGAGGAGCAACATAAAAAAGCAAAGGTCCGAACCTAATCATGTATTTTCCCCTCATTCTGGTTCATCTGGGACTGCTGAGATTTTCTTTGGGGTGTTCCATTCTTGATCATGTTAAATCAAAGTGTAAGTTGGTACATTTTTTTTTCACAACACATTGAATCCTAACGGTGCATGTTATTTTTGTGTGGCTTAGATGGCATTCAGAGTACATCAGGAGCGGCTGGAGAAGCTGGTGATGATGGTGGCGACTGCTGAGTCGGAGCAGCTGAAGCGCTTCGAGGAACTCATGGAGTTGAAGCAGAGACAAGAATACCAGAGCATGCTGGATATGATAGATAGAGAGTGAGATTACTTGACCAACATATGAAAGTATGTCTGCTAGGCTTTTCTTTTCATGGTTTTTGACATTTCTCTACTGCAGAACAAAAGAGAGCATTGGACGTCAAGAGAAGCTGAAGGAAGAGCAACGCCACAGATTGAAGGTATTTTCACAGCGTGACTTATTTCATCCAAGCCGAGCACATCCACATACTATACATTTGAAATACTTGGAAAGTGTATGATTTCCATGTAAATGCCTTGTCTTTTGACTCAAAGATCCAAAATCTCCGCCTGAGAGAGGTGGAGCAGCAGCGTCTGAGGGAGGCAGAGCTGGAACGACAGCGGCTGGTTGAAGGCAAAGAGAGGCTGCGGAACCTCAACTCCATTCAAGAGGAAATCCTGCAGCTCAACCAGCTTCTGGAACCCTCAACCCAGACTCAAACCGCTGTCCTATCAAGTGTTGGCACCTACAGCACTCGTGGGAACCAACTGTGCTCCCAGGTGTCCGAGGTTGTTCGAAAGACAGCAGAGGTCAGTGTAAAGTTTTTCAATTAAAAAAGAAAACACATCAGACTAAATACATTGTTGTTTAAGTATTCCGGCCACTGATTTTCAGCATTTTGACGAATATTATCATCGGCCTTGTTCAGAAAATCTGACGCCAATCAGAGATCAATTTAAAACAGTGTTCCTGTCAGAGAACTATTTATTTCCCTTTTCAGTTAGCTTTATAAAGTTGTTGATGACCTTGGAAACACTCTGCACATTTTGTTTTTGTTTGAAACTAAAACAAAATGAAAAAAAACAGGAAGCTCTTCTTGAAGTTTTCATTTAGTGAGTAACATTTCAGTTATTTTGAAGTTTTGGAAAGCCCTTATTCACTGTAGAAAAAAACAGGAAGCTCTTCTTGAAGTTTTCATTTAACTTTTTAAGACATGCTGATGATGCTGGGATCTCCCTGATTTTTTTGTTGGAATTAAAAAAAAAGTCTTGTCTAATATGTTAAAAAAAAAACCTTTGAACTTCAGCATTTTGCAAATCTGAAAAGTTGTGAAATAAACATCCGCTGAAAGACATTTCAGCTAGGCTTTCCACAATAAGGATTTAGAGCAAATTACTGATCAGCAAGTTAAAAAACGATAACTGATTCATTCAGAAGATGGACCGATCTATTTAAACAACTTGTTTATTGAGTGTACAGTCCACCCCCACTATCCATGAAGGATTAGGACAGAGCTGGCTCAGAAATAGCCAAAACACATGTGTAATTGACTCCTGTTGAAATGATTTCGGAATAAATAATTAAACCCTAAAAATTCTCCCCAAAACACTCAAACATTCAATACAACGAAAATGCCCCCCCCCCCCAACCAAAAATAAAAATGCTAAATGATTTATAAATATTGGGGAAAAAAAGCCTTCTGTGTATGATGAGAAATTTTGGATTATTAATGATGAGAGCACACAACGTCCCCGAAGTGAACAAGATTGTTTGCTCGATTGTCTTGTAACGCGGATCCGACCAATGACGTAATTGATGGGAAAATTATGACATGACAACTGATTCCTGATTTTGCATGAAAATGCAAAGCCAGTTAAGCAACCACACGTGTTTGTATCACTGTTGAGCGTTGAATATATCAATGTTTTTTGAGACCACATAATTACTAAATCCCCATGCACCTTAAATGAACTACCATCAGTGTGGGCTCAAAAGATTCACCGTTGTATGCTTTTGAGATTTGTATTTTGAGGCCTAGATTTGTGTTTTGAGGCCTGGAGACGCTGTTGAGCGATGTCTGCTCAGTTGTGGCTCACGCTGATATTACACCTTTCAATGGCTCAGCAACAGTGAACCTTTTTACTTTCAAAGATGAGTCGAGGGCCAGTCCGAGTGTGGGTGAGGGGCCTCCAGTTGGCTCTCCCTTTTCTAAATGTTAAACCTCAATAAGTGGTTGATATGACTTGAGTACAAACATGCTACACAAATATTTCTAAAATATGTGAACAATGTGAAGAAATCAAGCTATCAAGAACCACCTGAGCATTAGACTTGTCTTATTCATTCAACCATCTTTACAGGGGCAATATCCCAGCGTGGAAGACATGACGGTGGCAGAGAGGGCCCTACATGAAATGCGGACTCAGATCCGCTTAATGCAGGAAGAAGCAGCCAAAGCTCAGGAAGAGGAGAAGAAGAAAGAGTTGGCGGAGTCTCAGAGGAAGCTGGTGGAGCTGAAGACGCAGCAGGAAGCACAAAAGAAGGCGGAGCAGTTAGCCAAAGAGCGAGCACAGAAGCAAGGTGGGAAACTCAACAGCTAAATCACAGACAGACAGAACATTAAAAAAAAAAAATCAAAATTTTCATAACAATTGGCGAAAGTCCCTCTGTTGCGAAAATACCAAGTAATTTATTTATCTGTACCAAACAGTTGGTAGAAATGTTTGTATTATTTACATACAAGTCATGCCATATTGCGGGGATGCTGTCTAAATACAATATGCAGTTACCGTATTTTTCGTACCATGAGGCACCCTGTATTATTTAGTGCAATATCTATTTTAAAACGTTTTTGTGGATGAATTTCTAAGGTGCATTATCTTTGTGAAGTATCATACGTTAAATAGTTTATTGTAATTGCCTTTATTTATTTATTTATTTATTTGTTTATTTTTAAGAGAGAGAGAAAGATTTAGCGCTATTCTGCTATGCCATCAGCTGCTCATTAGTCAGTTCCATCGTCTTGATTTGCTTGGCATTAAAAGTCATTTGGGCGTAAACATTCAATTGAGATCTTGTATTGGTGTTGTGACGTTCACGAATGAGTCGTTCTTTTGAACGTCTCTTTTGGGGTGAATGATGGCAATTGATTTGCAGTTGTGAGAGAGCTGTTCATTTTTTGCATCCAATTTGCTATGGTATTTGGTTACATTGACGCAATTTGGTTAAATCTACAAAATATAGGTACAATTGTGGAAACTGCTCCAAAGCTTGGGTGTGGCATTTATTAGTTTATGTTGTGATAACTTTACTCATAGTGTGGAAGATGAACAACAATATCAACAGAAGTGTGGGAACCCTGTGTGCGTCATTCTGGTGACCGGTGGTTGTTTTATTACTTTGGCTAATGCTAAATGCTATCGGCAACAGTTCAACAGCTGTAAACAAGTCAATGCACTTGCCGTTATCCAACTTTTTTTCCCCTGGCAGCTATTGGAAAGCGACTGTGTCCTTTACCTAGATGTCCCATATTGTAACATTGGAAACCGCTACGCCATATATGCTTAACTGCTGAAATGCTTGCATCTGACCGCAGTATTCGGTTAAAAGTACTTCAATTCCAACTATTCTTAGAGACGGAAGCAGGAAATAGTGCTAGTTCTGGAATGACGAAAACATGGACGCGAGTAATGTGTCGGTGAGGCGTCATGAAGCATGGTGGCACAATGACACACTGTGTTGATACAGTCTCGCTGAATACTGACAATTGCTGGACTTTAAAAATCGCTGCAGGCAAGCCACTTGCCAGACTGACCTCACACAGATTTGATGACCTCGCGTATACAATAATGTCATTCAAGTCTTTGCATTCATATTGGATTATTTTGGTAAATAATGTGAACATGTATTATAATGTGAAAATCTAAGTGAAAATGATGTGAATGAGGATGCTTGTGGACTTTTTGTCTTGATAATTTTTAAAAAAATTCAAAACAGCATATTTTTCCCAATGTTTTTAAAATTAATTCTGTTGCATTTCTTGCAAGCCATTTTGCCTGACATGGAGAGCACACGCTCACATGGCACTGATGATGCCAGTGTACACAGGAAATTTTTGGCTAGCAGGAGGGGTTGGAATAAAAAGTCTGCTTCCAATATACCAGAGGTCCGTCCAATATTCCCCTCTGCTGCACTTCAGACTATTGCTGCACTTCAGACATTGCATCTGAAGTTGCACTTCTTCCAAGTCTCCCCACTTCATCATCCAAGCGCTTCCACAGGTCATCAAAAAAAAAAGCCATTTTAGTATAATATCCAAAAACAAATGTATGAATATGAATAACATGCCTGATGTGGTTGTAGAGAGCTGTGCTGATGGTCCCAGCTCTTCGTTTGTGCGCCCGATGACACATGCACACTCAGTCCGCAGTTAGGGAACGGCCTCAGTGCACCTTGAGGAACTGCAGAACCCAAGTGATTTGAATCTGTGGTCTAGAAGTGTTGCTAAGGTTAGCACACTCATAGACTCCAGACCGGAAGCAGTGTCTGTGACTCGAGACTTCAGGTGTTCGAGTAGTTGTATGGCTGCCTGTGTGTGCAAGGTTGAAGCGTGATGCATGATTTTGTAACTCATAAATGAAGACTGTGTGCGATGCAAATTGAGTGGCGAATTTAGAGGTGTCGAGTGGATGCTATCGTGTTTTCCGCTGCGTCACTCACAAGACACTTTACTTTATTGGTTATGGCCCAGCCCTCCATCATGCCTCTTTTTGACCCTTTTGTCAGTGTGACTCTGTGGAAAGTACTGTACTCTCAACTCTGGTGAACACAACTGCAAATTCTCATTAATGTAGCGATAAGTCAGAGCCAAGTAAGCCTCCATGTTCACAGAGGTCCATGTCAGTTGTTATACTCACTGCCACTGTACTTCCATGTTCACTTGTTCCCGTTCCTCCTGGTACTTGTTGGCCACCATTTGTTTGATGGTCTGAAAATTCAACCAAAAGCAAATCAAGACATTTAAATTTCAGATGAACTCAATTGCCGATATCAACTCCTACTAAATGTAACTTCCACACAAACCTTTCTTATTGGCAAAATATGAGGGTTCAAGGACCTGAATCAGTTGACTCTCCACAATGCTGAGGGGCTGGCAGCCCTTGAGAATAAAGTTCAGCAGTGCCCCATCAAGCAACTGCTTCCTGGAAGCTTGATTTTTAAACATGAAGTGGAGAATAAATCAAAAATAATTACGGATTCCCAATTAATTATCAACAAAGCAGCTGTGAGAAAGTAAGAGAAGGGCTGTGTCCCTGACCTTATCCTGGGTGTATCGGGAACTTCATTCTCATGCTCGGCCCGATAATCGCCTCAGGATTGAGGAGGTGCTTTTGTTGCTATAAGAGAGCTCAGAGAAACAAATGTGACATTTCACCTGCAAAAAAATAATGTGAATGGTGAACTAAGAGTTACCTTGAAATTAATTTGAATTACAATGGAAGGAGACAAGTTGAAAATCTGAGAGGAACTTGGTGAAAAAAAGGAGATGATATAAATAGCTTATTCTCTGAAAAGGAGATCAAATTGGTCCCACACGGCAGAAAATTGTTGTTTCCCCTGGACCTGCTCCATCGTCTACAAAGACATCCAGAAGGAACTGTTGAGTTTTAGATTATTTCAGCTGTTGCATCCCTTTGACAGACGCACTTCCTTATAAACTCAGTTTGGTGCGTTTTTGCCAAGTCGAGGCAGTTCATTGCATCGGTCATGTAATTGTCTTAAAGCGGTACGCGAACCAACGTAGGGATTACTCTATGTGCTCGGCACATGCTTCGGCGCATTGGTGTTGTGGCATCTGTAAATTTTTGAGAAAATGTAATCATTTTCAGTACGCTTTATGGTCCAAAAAAAATACAGTATGTTACACATTTTAGTGAAAATCAATGTGCTGCATGTATTGCATTTTCCACACAGTCCCAGCATTTAAACATTTGTTGGAAAAACCATTAATAGTTACCTAAATTGTCAAATTAGCAAAATAGAGAAGACATAATATAGTACATTTAGTAGTTGTATTGATTTCTTCGAAGTGTGCTTCGCTCCCTTGTTAAATCACATGTTGACTGTGGTTAACTACAGTTTTCGACTTAGTCCAGGGGTCACAATCTCCACCTATCCAAAATGTTTTAGGTGTCTCCCTCCTCCAAAACACCGGGTTCAAATGATTAGGATTGGTATCATGCTTCTGCAGAGCTTGCTGATGAGCTAATCATTGGAGCAGGGAGACATCTAAAACATTTTGTGGATAGAGGCCCTAGCGGACTGGATTTGGTGACGCCTGTGTTACTGTCTGTCGTTTATTAATGTGTGGTTTGTGAGGTTTATTTTTTCAAGTCCAAACGATCCAGAAGATTTCGGAAACCAAGCAAATGAAGTCTTACTGTGTGGAAAAGGTTAAAAAGCTAATTTCAAGGCTTAAGAGACTTCAGCGAATGACGGTCTGGGCCATTATTCACAAATGTAAAAACCTGGGTGCAGTGAGCAAAAGTTATCCAAGAGTGCAAAAAGGACTCATCTGGCATGGTTAAAAAAAGAAAAAAAAAACAGAATGACATTCAAACAACTGGCCTCAGTTAAGGTCATTATTCAAGATTTGACCATAGGAACGACACTAAACAAAAAATGGCACCCTTGGTAATGTTATAAGGTAAAAACCTGTATTGAAGGAAAACCACAAAACACAGGCTCATCAACTGTTTGCCAAGAATCATTTCAATCATTCCAAGACTTTTCGAGAAATATTCTGTGCACCGACGAGACCAAAGTCGAACTGTTCGGTAGATGTGGGGCCTGCCAGATCTGATGGAAAAATAACACATTTGATGAAAAGTACAGCATCTTCTTGTTTTCCATTCACCTTGTCCCTTTAGGGTCACCAAAGTGTTTCATCCTTTTCCATCAAAGTCTATCTTTTGCATCCTCCTGTCTAACATCCCTCACTGCCCTCATGTCGTCCCTCACCACATCTGTCAACCTTCTCTGAAGTCTTGCGCTCGCTCTCTTTCCCGGCAGCGCCGTTCTCATCACCTTTTTAACCAGTCTGCTCCCTTTCTCTCCTCTGGATGTGTCCAAACAATCTCTGTCTGCTTTCTGTAACTACGCCTCCAAAATATCTAACCTGGGCTGCCCCCCCTGATGAGCTCATTTCCAATTCCATCCAACCTGGTCACATCTAAAGAAAACTTCAACGTCTTCATTTCCACTTCATCCAGCTCTGTTTACTGACATCTCTTCACTGCCATGCCTCTAAGCATGATGTCATGGTGGGCCTCAACACTGTCTTTGTCACTGCCATGGTTGGTTCAACTGGATATTGGTACGGGGGTCCTTTGCATCATGTATCAACTCATCATTGACAAGCTGCATTGTATATTTTCTTGGCCTGACTTGAGGAGAATTCTGCTATCAACTACATTATGAGCGGATTGATTGACACGAATGTCGTCCAACAGGGCTGCAGAACAGTGCAGACGACACCACATTGAAGTGGTACAAGGAGTTGCAGGAGTCTCTCACTCAGTGCATTCAGTCCATTGAACAACTCAGCTCATCAAAAGATGTCCAGGTTAGTCTGAGCACTTGATCAATCAATTTCTTGAAACCTGGTGCTTGTCCGGTAGTCATTTGATCCAATCCTTAACTGTGTCACCATTTCTGTTTATGTAGACAAAGAAACTAAAGTTGGAGCTCCAAAAAGCCGCTACCATACCCATCAGTCAAATCTCCTCCAATTCTGGATCTCGGCTTCGAGAAATCTTTGAAAAGATCGACAAGTTGCTGTCTGGACACGCGGTGGTGTCAGGGGGGAAGTCAATATCCCCCTCCCATCACCCACAGGGCTTGGACTTTGTGTATTGCAAAGTGGCGGAGAAATTTGTGGTGAGTGTTAACTCACCAGTTTGGTCTTTTAAGAAAATCCTCGAAGTTGGCAACTTTTGACTAAAGCATGTGATTTCTTGTTGTAGAAACAAGGTGAGGAAGAGGTGGCGTCTCATCATGAAGCAGCCTTCCCTATCGGCGTGGCAGCCTCGGGGATCTGGCAGCTGCACCCCCGCTTTGGTGACCTCTTCCTCGCCCACCTGCACAAAAAATGTCCTTATGCGGTCCCACATTATCCCCGAATGAAGGATGGCACACCTGTGGATGAATATCAGAGGTCAGTCGCTGCTGTCACCCTGGCCGTGTTAAAGGCCTGCTTTTAATGCTGTGCCTAGGCCGAATGCTGAATATCCCTTTGTCCCGTGTGTCTCACTTGCGTTTGTTTGCCCGGTTACTCCAGAGAGGGTTGCTTCCTTCTACAACAGAAAAAACAAACAACAAATAATGATTACATGCTGATGTTCAACAGTCTGTCTGATATATTTAACTCTTTCATTACACAAGACGTACTTGTACATCTTTTTAAAATTAGGCCCCGCCTACCAAGGACGTACTTGTAGTCTAAGTCTTTTTTTGGAGTCATAGAGAGGAGGGTCTGATGCAATCTGTGAATGAGAATAAGCCGTTTACATTGTAAATCATGTAAAAAAAAGCGACCAGTAGGTGGCAGTGGTGCCTCACGTGCTTGAAATGCATGGTTTTACAAAAAGCTGTTTTTCTCCGTTGTTTTTGCCCAGGAATCGCCATTTTCATGAAACTTAGCCATATTGTAATGCCAATTGCTGAAGAATGGAAAAAGATAGAAACAAAATGTTTTTTTTCTGCTGAAAGAAGAGAGTCTAAACTTTATTTTGGTGGGCTGCATGTTTATATAGCAGTAGAACCGAACAGAACAGAACAGAATATTCTGTGGGCCTTGCAAAATCAGTCAAAATCCAGTAAAACGCTGGGATTGAGGGGGTTGCTCCAGTTAAAATGGCTGGGATCGAATGAGTTAATGGATCCATGTGACATATTTAGTCTTTTGGATTGGCGGAAAAGAGACTCAAGGTGCACGGTGGAGTCAAGGAAGTACCTTGCTGCTGCCAGCATGTGGCGCTTGTGTGCTCCATAGGCACAATGTGTTAGAGAAGTGCGCCACTCTTCCCATAGACCAGAGGTTTGAAATCCATTGTAATTCAGGGGGGCCTTACAACCTAATTTGATGTCGATTTAAAATAAATATTAAAAAAAAAGAAGCTTGAAACTGGTTGCAAAGGTTTTAAAGTTTTTCGAAACTTAGCACGCTGATTTCTTGAGGGGTTGATAATGGCATGCAGATGGTTAGCGGGCTTCGTTTTTTTGTTGTTTTTTTTTTTTTTTTTAAACTTCCGTTGCCATTCAATGCCATAAAGAAAGGCTTGATGAAAAACAACTGTACACCAGACTAAAATCAGTACAGAATGTTTGAGAGATGTGCACACAACGTGAGCCCGAGTAAACAACAGCCGTCCATATGAGAATGGATCGATACGACATGCCCCTTTTGAGCCGTGTGCCTACAGCAATGCTAATCCTATGTGCATGCTTTCCATTGACTTTAACTGCCAAAATGGCCGTCAGTGGGCATGTTTGTTTGCCAGATCCATTCTGTACTGCAAATCTGTGACAACAGCGGCACAGTTCAGAAATCCCTTTACAAGTCTTTGTCCGTTGATTGCGCCACAGCACCAGTAAACCACAGTGACCATTTCTGGAAGCAACAGACAACAGAGGAGCAGACACTGTTGTCTGGCTGTTATATCTGAAATCCATTAAATCGGGGTCCGTAAAATTGGGATTCCACTGTACTTCCCTGTTCCATCGCAAAATTGTTCACCACACTCCATAATGAAACAGCTAATGTGGACAAGTTGTAAAAAAAATAAATGGAAGGATGAAAGTAATTGTTGCTCTTGCACCAGACAATGTCTTACTTGTTATGTCTGAAAGGGACAGGCAAATAAATGCCATTTTGTTTGTTGTTCATGCAATCTGAAAAGAACACCTTTAAAAAGGCAGTTTTTTGCTCAACAGAATTCTTGGTTACCGTGTTGATGACTCTGGGGTTGAAGGCCAAGACAGTTTCCTGAAAAGGATGTCCGGCATGATCCGCCTCTACGCTGCCATCATCCAACTGAGGTGGCCATTTGACTCCAAGCACACGGTAGGAACTTGTTCATCAGTTTGGTTTGTCTATTTGCACAGAGCACAAGGTCATCGATCACACTTGTACCGTTCTCTGGCATTCATCTTTGAATGTTGTTAATCATTTCAATTTTTTCAGTCAAGAGTTGCTCGCATCTTCTCTCTTTTTTTAATATCCCGGTGAAGGCAGAAGCAGCATATGAATAATATTGTTTATATTTTAGTCACCCACTCATGGTCTGAATCATGGTTGGCGCTGGTTGGCTCAGATGCTCAACATGGAGCCTATTGCAGACATCACTGCGACGCTACTGTTGGACTTTCTTGAGGTGAGTCAGATTTACAAAGGCTGGGCATTTAATCGAAATGTAATCGTGAATATGATTTTGGCTTCTCCCGATCTTTACGTTATGATTGAAGAAAAAAGATTAATGTGCAGAACGGTGTGTTTACAAGTTTCTGTCCTTGTGAAATTAGCCTGAATGCACCATGTTTCTTACGTAGCATGTAGCGTATGTGATTGAGTGTTTGTTTATTTAGCACAATTTCAAAACTGTGCAAAGGGGGAGTCAAGCCGGAAAGGGTTGTTCGAAATTCGACTCCCATTCAGAAAGTCCATGCATCCATCCCTCCATTTTCCGATCCGCTTATCCTCACAAGCGTCGCGGGGGTGCTGGAACCTATCACAGCCATCTTCGGGCAATAGGCAGGGGACACCCTGAACCGGTTGCCAGACAGTCGCAGGGGACACACACAGAGGAACAAACATCCACACTCACAATCACACCTGGGGACAATTCAGAGTGTTCAATCAGCCTGTCATGCGTGTTTTTGGAATGTGGGAGGAAACCGGAGTACTAGGAGAAAACCCACGCAGGCCCGGGGAGAACATGCAAACTCCACACAGGGAGGTCGGAGCTTCGAATTGAACCCGGTACCTCTGCACTGTGAGGTTGACACGCTAACCACTGGTCCACCGAGCCGCCCATTCAGAAATTCATATCAATGAAACATTTCTGGATAAACAATACAAGTGGAAAGACAAAATAAAATGAAATGTTAACAAAAAAAAAAAAAAAAAGACATATAATAAGTAGGGCGGCCCGGTGGTCGTTGGTTAGTACGTCGGCCTCACAGTGCAGAGGTACCGGGTTCAACTCGAAGCTCCGACCTCCCTGTGTGGAGTTTGCATGTTCTCCTCGGGCCTGCGTGGGTTTTCTCCTAGTACTCCGGTTTCCTCCCACATTACAAAAAAATGAACAACAGGTTGATGGCACACTCTAAATCAGGGGTGTCAAACTCATTTTTGTCGCGGGCCACATTGTAGTTACGGTTTGCCTTGGAGGGCCGTTATGAATTTTTGGGAAACCATATAAATATTTAACCACATCCAAATATTGCATACACAGTACACAAAAATTGATGAATAACTAGTTTTAAAATCAGAAGTCAAGAACAATGACTGTTATTGTGGATTACATATGACAATTTGAAATTTTGGTTCAGACTTTAGCAAGCATCATGGAACTTGACATGCTTGATTTGCTTTGCCGGGCCACATAAAATGATGTGACGGACCAGATCTGGCCCCCGGGCCATGACTTTGACACCTGTGCTCTAAATCATCCTGGAATGTGATTGTGAGTGTGAATGGTTTGTGCTTGTGCCCTGCGATTGGCTGGCAACCAGTTCGGAAGATCCCGAAGAAGACGCTGCTGAAGAAATTGCTGGTAGGCTTGCTAAGTGTGGTCTCTCTCAGACCCCGTAGTGTGCATGCTTCAAACTGTACGTGCTTTGAGCTCAGGTCGTTCTACTAGTTTACCACCAGATGACAACAAAGTCTAGATGTTGTACCTTTTAATAAAGTTGATATCGCAACTTCTGGTCTCATTCCAAGTGGTCTCATCCCATCCATGCCCATCATAAGAATAAAGTGTTCAATGTGTAGGGACGTATGGGTATGAGGCTATAATCGGAGTTTTGAGTAGTTGAATTTTGGTAGAATAAATTCAAAGTTTATTAATAATATGTAGGGACGTATGGGTATGAGTTTTTAGTAGTTTAATTTTGGTAGAATAAATTCAAAGTTTATTAATAATAATTTTCTTAATCAGGATTTCAGTTTCAATCACAATAATCATTAACCTCCCCCCCCCAGCCACACACACACACGAAGAAGTAGAATTTTCTTAATCAGTTTTCTTAATCAGGATTTCAGTCTCAATCAAAATAATCATTAACCCCCCCGCCCCCAGACACACACACACACACACACACACACACACACACACACACAATAATCGTACAGCCCTACTATTGCACTTGAGGTACCATATTGTATGTGGAAAAGGGACCTCCATTTGTTGTTTGGACTCCAACCTCATTTATTCACAGTATAGAGCTGGAACGCCTAATTTGTCTGTGATTCTTTCAGGTTTGCGGCCACGCTTTGTTAAAAAGCTATCAAGGGCAGTTCTGGAAAGTCCTCCTGCTTCTGAAAGAGCAATACTTACCCAGGTACACACTCGCATGGACTGGTAGTTTAGGGACACTTAAACATTTCCTATGATAACCCAAGTCTGTCTGCCCACCTGTTACCAGAATCGAAGCCGTGACCAGCAGTGGACAGATGGGCTCAGTCTCCAGACTTAGAATATTCCTTGAGGTAAGAGATGTAATCTTCAAGTTTGCTTCTGTATGTTTGGCTGACTCTAAAGAGACCAACACTTAAACGTTTTCTTCACCTATGGAATGCATGAGTAAGTAAAGAGATGCAATCCAAGACCATGATATCTGAAAAGAGATCTCATTTCATCCCCGAAAGAGAAACAAACCCGTCCTATTGATTGATTGATTGATTGATTGAAGGAATGTTCTAAGAGTTTAATTGATTTTTCTTTTTTGTCTATTTTAATGAAGCCAGAAACTCTGAATGATGTTTTGATGTGTCCTATCCATAGAATTTGTTTCAAGAAGGGCAGATCAGTCCACCCAAAGGCCAGCTGACATCCATATTCTGGAGGTCATGAGGTTGGAAGAGAATGCGTTGACTTTGGAAGAAGCCGCTCGAAGCGACATTTGAAATATTGCTCAGCAACACAGTCACCTTCCAAGACCATGGAAAGAGGATGGACTTTGTCTGCAACCTCATACTGGACTTGGCCTTTTGTAATGTTTTGCCCTCCAAGATACTGATAAATATGATGCTGGAAAATATCAATTTGGTATGTGTCAATTTTGATCATGACACCCAAGACGGAAAAAAAAATTCTCCGCAATGATAGCTACTTCAAAGCCATGAATACAGATCTTACATTATCACAGACTGTTTTTATTAATGTAATAATAGTTTATTAAGATATGGTTGTTTTTTTTGTTTTTTTTATGAGGTCAGTGGTGTGAAGGCTCCAATAAAGTTGTCAAACTACTTTTCATTATTCAAATACTGAATCTTAGGAAACAAACAAACAAACAAAAAAACAACCATGTTTGCAGCAAATGAAACGTCTTGAGCACATTTACCCAAAAATCATAAAAATGTCATTTCATCATGATGTGTCTCGCGCAACCTCACCGCCGTGTCGGTGCGCAGATCGTTTGGAGTGAAAGTCATGTGACTGATGCAGCCGTTGTGTTCCTAAGGCCTCCAACTTTAGACGGAAGCACGTCTGTCAGCGGGTTGCGATTCTGCCTAATGAATCTCGCATCTTTTGAAGCTCCGTTATTCCCTTCAAGTCTGTGTGGTAGCGATCCAGAGAGAAGAAGAAAGGATTCCTCCTTGTGGGACCATTTTGATCTCATATCGGCAAATATTTGATTTCCTTACTTAGTTTCACTTTCCGGGCTTTCTATAGGGTGCAAGTTCCTTAAACAAATGGGCAGTTATTTGGTTCAATGGTCAGTACACTGCACAGCCAAAGTGCTCGGAAGTTCACGATGGGGGTTTGATTCCCGTGGAAGCTCTATAATGCAAAATTGATGGATTATTTTTTTTTTTGTTGTTTTCATTTTTGAACTTTGAACTTCCATGAATTAGATTCAGCAATTTTGAAATAGATTATGAGCCATCATGGTCTTTTGCAACACAGCAAGATTCACATACACAAGATCTTTAGATAAGTAGTTGATGTGTTTATCTGTCTGTCTATCACCATTGTTTTTTTTGGCACACCAGCCACGAGAATACCTTGAGTGTGTTTTCCAAAGCTACTGAAATTGGTGAAGAAAAGATAAGGTATCACTTTACTGCCAAAAAACTGTAGCGAAGTGGCTCTTTACATCAGCAACATCAGTTCACAATCACGACACCTTCACATTGGCAAATGTTCACATTACTGAGTGTATCATACACTTTAAAGACTAAACTTCAATTAAAATGGAAATAATACAAAATAACAAAATACAAACATAATGAAACAGTATTGTTTTTTGGTTAATCTGCAATGCAATGATGTAAGAGTCACCAGGTGTCCATTTCAACAGTGACACAGTACTGACACTGTGCCAATACAGTTTGCCCAGTGTGCCGCAATCCTTCATGAGGCCTCGTCTACCCATCACTACTAGCATTTCAAATTACCCAAATGCTGTTTGAAGTCTCAGTGACAGCCTGTTTTTAATACACTGTTTTCCATAAATACATTGGTTTGAAGCATTCCATTTAATTATTATTCCTGCACAACTTTGTCTCGCCATTCTCCATCCAGACTTCATCCTCTCTTGATGACAGACAACAGAACTCGGAAATAGATGCAGCGATATTGACACAGATTAAGGTCTGGAGCAGAGGGCTCATCAAAACACATCCAAGGAGCCTTTTAATAGTGAAGCCAAAACTCGTTTCCAAACTCACATTAACCGTGGAAGCAGCAGATGCAGAAAAGTATGCACAGGTCACCTCTGATCATGGGGAGATAGATCACATTTACTCACGCCAAGTATAAAACTCCATAATGACAGCATGAGAAATGTTTTGTTTTTTAGTTACAGTTTTGTCCGGAGTATAAATCGCACCAGCCATAAAATGCATAATCAAGAAGAAAAAAACATGTATACATCGCATTTTTTGTAAATTTACTTGATAAAATCCAACACCAAGAACAGACGTCATTTTGAAAGGCAAATAAATATAGAGAACGACAGGCTGAATAAGTGTACGATATCCTAACGTTACATGACGCATCAACGGTACTGAGAAAACGTGCCTGGTATGTTCACGTAACATATGAAGAGTTATTCAGATAACTATAGGAGAAAGAACACGCTAACAAATTTACCAATCCATCAGTGTCACTCCAAATCACGAAATCCAATGAAATCTTCCTCCTCCAAAGGTAGAAGATGCGGCACCTCCTCTTTTACGTCGCTTACGTCAGATTCATCGTCGACTTATCAACACAGACCTAGAGCGCCCACTTGTGGGCAATATGAAAATAACGTGAAATGGCATGATAATGTATTAATTCGGTCCTTCGTATAAATTGCACTCCCAGCCCAACTGAGCCCCCCCCCCCCCGCCCCTGCCATTTATAATCCGGAAAATACGGTAACAAATCGATCTAAATGTGTGTTAGTGGGCCGTTCTCATTGACCTCACAGGTGTGACATCAAGAGACTGATTAGACATGATGATTACCGCACAAGTGGGCCTTATGCTGCCCACAATTAAAGGTCACTCTAAAATATGCAGTTTTATCACACAGCAGCTCAGCGCCTCAGATGTCACAAAATTCAAGGGCACGCATAGTTGGCATGTGGACTGCAGAAATGTTGCCCATGAATTGGACATACATTTCTCTATCCCACGTCTTCAAAGACATTAGTCTTGCTTTCTCAATAGTATCTTGATATGCCCCACCTATCAGGTTGATAGATCGTCTCGCCAAAGGAGAAGTCACGAATAGCGAGTTAGACAATTTCTGAAAAATATTTGCGAGAAAGAGGCCTTTCGTATATGTGGGAAAAAAATCCAGTTTGGGTGTACAATGAAAATTGTTTATATTTGTGGTCGATACAAGTAGTCACAGCCTTTGTCCAGTACTTTTTCGACGCACCTTTTGTCAACAATTACAGCCTCAAAAATCTCCGAATACAGTGTAACGTCAGTCCTTGCAGAACCTGTCAAGCTCCATCAGGTTGGATGGAGAGCGTCGGTGGACAGCTGTTTTCAGATCTCTCAAGAGATGTTCAATCAGATTCATGTTTGGGCTCTGTCAAAAGTATGATAATTGATTTGCTGACTCATAAGGAACAACCTGGTTTCATAAATTTCCCTTCATTAGGCACCGCTGGGAAAGTAATTATCACACTTTTTTGAGGTTGATATCATTAATCGAAAGTGACAAGAAAAACAACTTCTCGAGAAAAGCATCTAACGTCATTTAAAAAAAAAAGCTAAATCTGACATGCACAATAATTCGGTCAGCGTCGTCTCTCAAGGAAGAGCCCCACTTCCAAAAATGTTCCCGTCAACATGAGCATGCACCCCGTTTTTTGCTGTGATATGTTATGACTTTTTTTTAACCACAAATAATCACATCACAGCCCACCTATTCTGTTTAAAACTTTTCATCTGAAGCGCATCTTGACTTGGCCCGTTTATATCAGCATTGTATTTTTGTTACCGTACTTCTCAACCTCGTCGTTGTTTTCTCACAACCTGTATTTGAAATTTTCCTGCTGCGCGTGACCTTTCAGTGAGCGCCACACAAGCCGTCATGAAACAGGACCCCACATAAACAGACTTATAAACGTGCATAATTTATTCTCACTGAGCCGCGAGAAGCACTGGACCTTGACTAGACCCTGAAGAGTGCACGTTTCTCAAACACAAGCGTGCGCATGCGCCCCCTCACTTTGTTCCTTTTATTTTGAACTCTTTCAACCAGTCTGAAATTATTCAGATGGCTTCAAAGACATTCAAAAAAGCACCATTCGCCATTACAGGCCTTGAAACGTCCACCCAGCAACTTGCCTGCAGCAGTTATTTGCATTGCTTTTTGCAGGAACACACAAATGTGTTCCATTTTAACATTTTACATCTCGGTTGGTCACTTGTCAGTCATCTGATTAAAATTTGGTGACAGCATCAATCTGTTGTGACCAGAGGGTAGAGGAGAGGCATATCCTAAGTATTACTAGTCACTTTCACACAGTGGTTCTTAACCTTTTTAGAGGTACCGAACCCAACCAGTTAATATGCACATTCACCGAACGCTTCATAAGTGAAAAATAAATATATGTTTTTACAAATTCAAGATATTTAAAAAACGCATTTATTAAAAACAGAAAAAAGTAAATACAATTTCGAGAGAAGTTGTTTGTTTTAATTGTACGACGTACTATCACAACAGTCACATGTTGACAACGAAGCGAACTAAATTTCCCACAGCACTGATTGGACAAGCAATGTCATGTGATCATCTGCAGCCAGTGACGGCTAAGCGGGCGTGTCATAACTAATTGACATCTTGAGTCGAGTGTGTCTTAACCTACGTGGCAGAGGCTCCGTCGAACACCTGAGACCGACTCACCGAAACCCGGGGTTCGATCGAACCCAGGTTAAGAACCACTGCTTTAGAACACTATGCTGAAGACAAATTAAAAAAAAAAGTTGAACTGAAACGTCCAGTAGATGCCTCTAATCATCCGATTGTTGTTTGGTACCTGCAAAACAAACATCTTGAAGTTTCATTTGCATAAATCATTGAGTGTCAGTTAAAATATGTTTGTTTGTTTGTTTGTTTGTTTGTTTTTTTTAATAGAAAGAAAAACAATTACAATTTTATGTGTACAAAATGAGATTCAAACTTTATAATCTTTTTAATGTGATAATACAAACACATGGAAAAAAATGGTTCATTAGTTTGACAATTCGTCATAAAAACTGCATTAGCAACCACAGAAAAGCACAATGAATGCAGATCAGATCAATATATATACACATCCTAGCTATATATCTTGTAATCTTGAAATCTTTCTGTATAAAAATACCCCAAAAACCACCATCTGCACTTTTGAATCAAAAATAATTTTGTAATCCTGAAACTCATCAAACGTCGATGTAAACTCCAGTTTATAATACAGCGCGTTATTCATTTTGACATAAACTGTAGTTATGTTGTCTTTAGTGAGAAATAAATGAATGGCCAGTGTTTTGTCTGTGCTAGTTCATTTGGACACCAAAGACAAAATCTTTCTTGCGCACCTCTTTTGAACTTTTGCATTTTCAAGAAAAACATCAACACTTCTATTTTATGATGACCTAATCCCATTTTTTTGTATTTTTGCAAGTCCCGATCCGACACCTACCTAAATGAGACCACATCCAAATTGTCTCAAGTATATTCTGATTATTATTTTTATGATTATTTGAATAAAGGTATACCAAGATGATACACTTTTATGTCGCTGTAAACTAGCAGTGTTTCTAATCGAGTTAACAACTAAAATCTGTTATTCTTGATTTAAGAACTCTTTATTAAAATGTAAAAATCCGATCTTTTTCAGCTGATGCAGATCCTCTAAAAATCACGTGATCGGGCGCGGATTACCGATCATGTCGGGGCAGCCCTACTTCTATTCAAATAGCTGATGCCTTTGTGGCTCTTTCATGACATTATATTTATTGTGTCAGAAGACCACTTGAGCCTTCTCCCAGTGTGGTCTCATCATCACAAAAGCCAGCGTGGAAGCCTCGCAAAGTCGACAAGTCCACAAAGTCAAATGTGCCATGCCTTCTGTTCCTGATTTGAAAGCCTTGCTCTTTGTATTCAAAGGCTGTTTTGAGTACATTCTTCATCGTTGTCCTGATTTCTGATGACAGTAGATGTCAGCTGTCAAACTTCACCTTGACTGAATTAAAAAAAGAGGAGCGAAGTGGAACAAACGGAAGAGGAATAAACTACATCGACAGACGTGACTGTCTTCAGAGTTGGTTACAAGCCAAACCCTTTGTCAAGAATTGAAAAAAAGAAGAAAACAGCATGTTACCTTTTGCTCTAATTGGACTTGGGAAAAAAAACAAGAAGAAGAAACCAAAGTCGCTGTGTACAGTATACACTCCTCTCAATCTATTTAAATACATGCAAGTATCAGTAAAAAAGTAAAAGCGTCCATGACCATTCATCATATTCCTTCCCGAAAACATATGACATATATTCGTCTCAGTTGAGCAGTCTTGTCGCAGGTTGATGAAATACGATTGCCTCTTAATCGGGTCGATGTTGTTCTTCCAGTGCCTCCGGTGATTCATCTCTTCGGCAGCTCAGGTCAAAGGTAGTTGCGATTTTGGCGGCTGTTCCAGACTCTCGGCGACTTCGCCTAACTCATCTAACAACTCTGTGAACGCTGGACGCCTGTAGGACTCGAGCTAAGGGACAAAGAAACACGATGAAGAGCATCAGTGGACTGCCAAATGAAAGCAACAGAGCGTCTTTCAGAGTGGTATTAATGCCGTGATATATTTCCTCTAATGCACTGCATCATACGTTATAAAGCTACACCGGTGAGTGGACAATGTTCATCAAAAATGTTTTAGATGAACTAACCGTATGTCGGATCTGAACAGCAGCCTGGATCGCAATTCTGTTGCAGACTTAGACTAACTGTAATACTCAGAATTACTGCGACGAAATCCTCAAAATGGCAGCCAAACTTTGACAGGATGCTCGGCCCACATTGGACAGCAAAAAAGCAAAACAAGAAAAAGTAATCCCTTTCCCTCACCATAGCTGATTCCAAGTGCGACTAATTGGGGTGGATTTCATAATCAGGCATTTATCAGCGTATGAACCCTGCAATCAAAGTAAAATGGCTGACTTCCCTTTTTTCTGCATTGGTATGAGCAGGATGCAACATTAATGCTGGCCCAATGGCCCGGGGAAGCACTGGCGCTGTGTTATGCAACCGCAGGGCCTCTTTAGTCTGATGTTAATTTTGGCAACCTCTCTCTTTGCATATTTGATTGTGCTTTTGGTTTTTATCTCCTGGTTGATCCTTAGGATCAAAAGGGGAGAATTGTAATGGGAATTTGACATTTGACACAACTGTTTGTACCATTGTGTATGCTGACCATGTTATTTGCAGATAAGCAAAGTTGCTTGCTCATGCGTTAGACTTCATTCTGTTATCTAAAAAGTGGAGCTGCCCAAAGTGCTGGCATGGCCTGACCTTAAACCCTCCAAAGAAGAGAAATATGAGATAAAAAAGGGAACTCCGTACTGCTCGAGAGAGAAGGCTCCAGGACAAATCTGTGAATGGTGCTTCTTCATATTTTTTGTAGCTGATATAAATCATCATTTTTTTAAATAAATACCTTCATTGTCTTGGTTTAACTGGACTAGACAATATAATAAATACTAAATATGCGGGGCCAGTACCATTTCTGACAGGGCCACCACAACGTAACTCATGGAAGTCACCACTCAAAAAGGCTTAAGGCTTGCCGACCCTGACTGGCAACTTTGGGTCGAGTTGTGTTAGAATCCGTTGTGTCTGTCCTCAGTGTTCCACTGTGCGACCCCTCCCTCTGTTCTGTTTTTGGTTGCCTTTCCCTCAATTCAGTGTTGGCTCGGCGTCCCCCCAATCATTGCACCTGTCTCACCTGAAAATCTTCACCTCGTCAACCACATTCCCCTCTGCAGCATAAAGGCCAGTCTGAAGAGCCACCCATTTCCAGTTCCTTCAGTTACCTTCCCTGCCATACTCTTTGCTGCCCAGCTATTGCGCTCAGCCCTCCAATACACCTTGGTTGGATTTCTCTGACCGCCTTTGGTCCCTGCCTCCTCGACCTGCCTTGACAATAAACTAGGACTGAGTTCATTGTGTCTGCCTGTGGTTCCTGTGCTTGTCTTAAGCTAAACTTAACAAGTTAGGATAGACCAGGGGTGGCCAACCAGTCAGAGACTAAGAGCCAATTTTTTTACTGTTACTGCAAAGAGCCACATCTTACACATGGGCATCCCAAACTCTCACACACACACACACACACACACACACACACACACACACACACACACTTTTTTGCCCAAAGATCGACTTTTGAAGCGACCAGCTTCCCACGATCGACCCAATTGCGCACGTGCAAGCACACACACACGCACGCACGCAAGTGCCCAATCATGCACTCGCTCACATATGCACGCACGCCACTATGAGCAGCAGCCGGAACGGCCCGAACATGAACGAAAGCTCAAGACACAAACACACAAATCTTTTTTTTCCCCACCCATCTCCTCCTCCCACTCCTTGCGGTCGACTTGGGACCAGTCTGCTGGCGCGAGATCTACCGGTCGATTGCGATCGACGTATTGGGCACCCCTGCCTTAAAATCAGAGGTAATTCGCTGACTAGCTTAGCGCTTAGCACCGTTTTTTTTTTTTTGCGCACGAGCGGTTATGCAGTCATCTGATTGGTTGCCCTCTATGTCAATCAAGTAACGGGATTGATGATAGGCTGACATAGTGTGTTCTGTATATTTAGCACCTTTGTTTGAATGGCAGCGCCACTGCCGACATGTTTTCAATGCTTGTCGTGTCAAAGCCCGGGAGCCGCATTGAACCAGCCAAAGAGCCGCATGCGGCTCGCAAGCCGCGGGTTGGCCACCACTGTGATAGACACATCCATCAATTTCGGTAAAAATTATTTTCTAACTTCCCAAGGAACACTAAAAGTCTTAGGTGGTTGTGTTCAGGGCCTCCAAAGCAGACATAACACCCACAACTCGGTGAATTTTCGGGGATATTGAGCCCACCTCACTGTAGTCATGTAGAGACTGCGAATCCCATAGCTGAAATTGCTTATGTAGGCCTGAGTAGTTTAGTTGCATGAACAAAACAGGTACCCACCATACAGCAGCTCGCTGCCAGTTCCAAGAGATGTTGAGGACAGTCTGCCACCATCTCCTTGAATGCATTCGTATCCAACCCATAGTCCTAAAATATATATAATAATAATAAGTGGACATTAATTGCATTTCACTAGGTTTTGACACTCAACGTAACATTTTGATTGTTTAAGAACATGGCAATCATGTAGCTGCCTGCCACCAAGATGCTACTCGAAGATAAAAAAATAAAAATAAAATAAATGAATACATAAATAAATAATCTTTTAGTTTGCTTCTGTGCCTTTGTCTATACAAATACTAACAACTGTTACTCAACCTGTGTTCTGGGCAGTATCTCAGGGTCAGCAGGGATCCGAGCCAGGATTTCACAAAGTACAATTCCAAAGGAGAAAACATCCACCTAAGAGAGGTAACACACGCCTGTTAAATTGAGGAATGAGCATAACAGTGTGGTGATGAGGAAAGAAATATTACATTCAAACATTTTCGCCCCCTCTGGGTAAAACACGAGTAGCTTATTTATCTCATTATTACCTAATTAAGGACATTTATCCTGGAATAAAGTATTTTCCAAAGGATACCAATAAATATCAATTTTATTATTTTGTATACGAGTTTGCCCAAGTTAAAACAGATTTTATCTCACACCTTGCGGTCATACGGCTCGCCTCGGAGCATCTCCGGGGCCATCCAAAACGCAGAGCCCACCAATGAAAGCTTCCTGTCAGGGCTTTTGACTGGCAGTTCCACCACCTCTCTCGCAAGACCGAAGTCTGTCACCAGGGCCTCCCGACCGCGGGATGTCATTCGGATCAGACAATTCTGCAGAGAAACAGTGATATAATTTTCAACCAGCAGAGGGCAGAGTAAGGCAGCTTTTCACATTAACAATGACCTACACTCACGTGTTCAATTAGTCTTTCATGCACATCTATTCAGCGATTACTTTTTTCATCAATCGCTTGTCTCTGATGTCACCGTGTTTCCTGTGCACTAAATAATTCACCTACACCATCTGTGGACTGTCTCGAAAGAGAACAAAGACCGTCTACTGTAGTGTTGCAGGTGAACTGAGGCCACTGTCAACTAACTTGGGGCTATAAGTAGCTAGCAAATCACAGGATACAGACAAACAACCTTTCACACTCACATTGGCACCTGTGGACAATTTAGTCTTGTCAATGAAGTTAACATCAAGATGCGTGGTTTTGGTACGTGGGAGGAACCGTAGCGTTTCCGGAGAAAATCGATGATGCGGGAGAACATGCACACTCCACACAGGAAGCACAGAGGCCAACCACAAGTCATGATCTGCCATAAACTGAAAAAAATTACATTTAGTGGAACTCTGCTTGGACTGGACACTAGCCCAATGCTTGGCACCTTTGTCCCACAAGTAAAAAGGTTGTTGGTTCAAAAAACTTTCTGTGTGGAGTTTTCATAGGCTCCCCGTGTTGTGCATTTGCCTTCGTATCTATGACGGTTTGCATCTTTCAGACTTGACGATTTCGTAATGATAATTTCATCACCTTTAAGTAAGATTCTGTTTTTCAGGGGGTTGCAACAACACTTCTCTCTGGGTACGGAACATTTAAAGTGTAAGGAACCACTGTTTCAGAGGATTAGTGCCTGACCGATATAGAGCCGGACTGCAATATACACAGTCTGAGCACGGACTGATCAATGAATGGCCGATCAATTGGCCCCTTGCGTCTGAAGCCATCTTATGTTGTCACTGGTACCGACAACTTCTGTCATTTTTTTCACTGGAAAGCCTCTCATAGAACGAACTTCACTGTTTGCGTCGACCATTCAAAGAGGATAGATTGACATTTCACAGTGAATTTTGTCCCACTGGGCTTTTCTTTCATTTTATTGTTGATGGTTCTGATAACATGATGCTAATGAATCTTTAAGTAGAACACCCCAAACTGGTTGCCAGCCAATCACAGGGCACACATAGACGGACAACTCTCCGCGCTCACACTCACACCTTGGGACCATTTAGAGCAGGGGTGCCTAAACAGTTTGGACTGAAGATCGACTTTTCGATCAACCAACCTCCCGCGATTGACCCGTTGTCGCGCACGCGCACGCACATACACACGCACGCCATGACGAGCAACAGCCTGACACAGAGGCATGCAACGTACTTTGGCAGCCTGTTAACTATTGTACCTCACACGTACCGTTTTAAAGTGCTTACCTCGGCCCTCTAGATTCCTATTCTTTGCCCGTGCCCTCGGAGAATTGTACACGAAACAAGCTCTGAATGAGAATAATGATAATGATAAAGATATAGCGCAACGGCTCTAATTACAATCTGCAATTGTAGACTGCTGAGCGCTAACAACTTCCCGTGACGCAGGTCACGCGCCACCGTAGGTTAAAGATTTACCTGCTTTATTTTATTTTATAAATACTTTTTGTGAAAATGAGACTGATAGGATGATTAGGGTGCAGTGTACATTAACATAAAAAAATATTACTTACATGCACAAAGACAGACAAATGGTTGGTTGTTTTTTTTCTCCTCTCCTCTTGCGATCAACTTGGGAAGAGACCGTGATCTACCGGATCGCGATCGACGTAATGGGCACCCCTGAGACCACAGGTGTCAAACCCAAGACCCGGGGGCCAGATCTGGCCAGCCGCATCATTTTATGTGGCCGACGAAAGCGACTCAACCAGGTCAACTTCCATGACGCATGCTAAAATCTGAACCAAATTTTAAATTGTCATATGTATAAATAATTGTGTTGAGCTTCTGCAAGCATTTTCTTGTTTTAGATTATTGCAGAAACTTGAACAACAGTGGAACAAACGACTCTCCTTGACTTTTGATTTCAAAATTAGTTATCTATTAATTGTGTACTGTATATGTAATAATACGAAGAGGTGATTAAACATTTGTACAGTTTCAGAGTCATAATGGCCCTCCGAGGGAAACTGTGACTACAATGTGGCCCGCAAAAATGAGTTTGACACCCCTGATTTAGAGTGTTCCATTAAGCTCCCATGCATGTTTTTGGAATGTGGGAGGAAACCGGAGTAACCGGAGAAAACCCACACAGGCACGGGGCGAACATGCAAACTCCACACAGGAAGGCGGATGTCGGAATGGAATTCTGCACCTCCGCACTGTAAGGCCAACACGCTAACCAGTCGGCCACCGGGCCACCCTTATTTCAATAATAAATAGTAAAATTAACTTAAAATGTTACTTTTGTAACGTTGATGTATCAACATAAAAAATTAAATGGAATGTGTTTTTACAGTATTTTTATTCCTTTTTAATCTTATCATCTGTATGTCATTATTGCAGAGGTCCTTTTGACCATGTCGCCATTTTAAAGCTGCTCTTGGAAAAAAAACATCAATAACGGACTTTCCCTCTAAATTTAGCCCAACCCTTTTGCTAAGATAGCAACAATATGGGAAACCGAAGTGGAAAACATTTCTTTGACGATTTAGAGGTAGGAAAGCACACATAAACCCTAATTTAAGAGTCTCAACCTCAATCTTGGAAAGTTATGACGACGGAATGTAATTTGCCCTTTTTTGGGTATACTTTTGGCATTATGGTCTTAACATATATTCATTCACTGAAATGCATTTGAGATGGGTGACTTAACCCTAGATTATTTGTTGTAACCCAAACCCATGACATATATTGATTACAATTCTGTTTCAAACTTGATCAGTCCAAGGTAAAGCTTTTCAAAATAAATCAACATTGATTTTATATTCTGAAAACTAATCTGTATTCTGCAAAACAGTCTACTCGGTTATAGTGGGGAAATGACTCGCAGACAGATCTGCGGTGAAAAACATTTTGTGTCGCAGTTAGGAGATACTTTTGAATGCACATTATTGCATTTACAGGAACGTCTTCAATTTTCATTGGTTGTTTTTTTTCTACTCTCCTCTTGCGATCAACTTGGGAAGAGACCGTGATCTACCGGATCGCGATCGACGTAATGGGCACCCCTGAGACCACAGGTGTCAAACCCAAGACCCGGGGGCCAGATCTGGCCAGCCGCATCATTTTATGTGGCCGACGAAAGCGACTCAACCAGGTCAACTTCCATGACGCATGCTAAAATCTGAACCAAATTTTAAATTGTCATATGTATAAATAATTGTGTTGAGCTTCTGCAAGCATTTTCTTGTTTTAGATTATTGCAGAAACTTGAACAACAGTGGAACAAACGACTCTCCTTGACTTTTGATTTCAAAATTAGTTATCTATTAATTGTGTACTGTATATGTAATAATACGAAGAGGTGATTAAACATTTGTACAGTTTCAGAGTCATAATGGCCCTCCGAGGGAAACTGTGACTACAATGTGGCCCGCAAAAATGAGTTTGACACCCCTGATTTAGAGTGTTCCATTAAGCTCCCATGCATGTTTTTGGAATGTGGGAGGAAACCGGAGTAACCGGAGAAAACCCACACAGGCACGGGGCGAACATGCAAACTCCACACAGGAAGGCGGATGTCGGAATGGAATTCTGCACCTCCGCACTGTAAGGCCAACACGCTAACCAGTCGGCCACCGGGCCACCCTTATTTCAATAATAAATAGTAAAATTAACTTAAAATGTTACTTTTGTAACGTTGATGTATCAACATAAAAAATTAAATGGAATGTGTTTTTACAGTATTTTTATTCCTTTTTAATCTTATCATCTGTATGTCATTATTGCAGAGGTCCTTTTGACCATGTCGCCATTTTAAAGCTGCTCTTGGAAAAAAAACATCAATAACGGACTTTCCCTCTAAATTTAGCCCAACCCTTTTGCTAAGATAGCAACAATATGGGAAACCGAAGTGGAAAACATTTCTTTGACGATTTAGAGGTAGGAAAGCACACATAAACCCTAATTTAAGAGTCTCAACCTCAATCTTGGAAAGTTATGACGACGGAATGTAATTTGCCCTTTTTTGGGTATACTTTTGGCATTATGGTCTTAACATATATTCATTCACTGAAATGCATTTGAGATGGGTGACTTAACCCTAGATTATTTGTTGTAACCCAAACCCATGACATATATTGATTACAATTCTGTTTCAAACTTGATCAGTCCAAGGTAAAGCTTTTCAAAATAAATCAACATTGATTTTATATTCTGAAAACTAATCTGTATTCTGCAAAACAGTCTACTCGGTTATAGTGGGGAAATGACTCGCAGACAGATCTGCGGTGAAAAACATTTTGTGTCGCAGTTAGGAGATACTTTTGAATGCACATTATTGCATTTACAGGAACGTCTTCAATTTTCAATCAATCAAATCAATTTGGACTGGCGCGTTAATTGGTCCCAGTCCCATTTAATGATATTGGTAATTTTGAATGTCGATGTACAAATCAAATTTCGTCATCTCTGAGTCAAAATGGATTCATGTCACAGGGAGTCATGGCCATCCCTTTGGTAAAATCCGTCCAAATGAAACCTCTGATTTCATTTGATGGTTATTTTGAAATTAAAATTTTGATCAAAGACCTGAACAAAAGGTGATGAGGTTTTTTTTTTTTCTTATTTCACTCTGAATAGTTCAAAGATGAGATAAGGAAAGTCAACTGGATAATATATAGTGGCTTGGAAAACTATTCAAACCCTTTTACTTTTGCCCCGAAAACCTAAATTAATACCCAGTGCAAATGATGCAAACCAAAAAGCCTTCAGAAAACACCTTAGCAAATGGGTCAATCCAGAATTGGAAGACATTTTGGCTTCAAAGTTTATGAAAAATAAACCCTTCACTTTTCTGCTACATATTCATCAGTAGCAGGTAATAAACAATCAAATGATTGATTAGCTCATCTTAGATCAGTGTTTCTCAAATAATGGGGCGCGCCCCCCCAGGGGGGCGTGAGGCTCTGTCAAGGGGGGCGCGTTTGACCTCGGGGAACATGCTTTTTTATTTTTTTACTGTCCTAAAATAACGTGCGGTTGCACCTCCACTACGTCAGGGGGCAGTGGCGCTCTCATTGGCAGAGTTTGCACAGGGGGCATTCTCAGGGAGGAAATATGATGAGGCGTATGTAGCGCTTGGCTTCAATGTGACTGCGGTGGCAGACGAGGAAAGATTGATGTGCTTACTGTGTCTAAAAATGTTGGTAGCAGACAGCATGAAGCCAAATAAATTCAGGCGTCAGTTAAAGACATTACACCCCAATCACGCTGATAAGCTACTTGAGTTTTTTTCAGCGAAAACGTGCCAAATATTGCCAACAATCATGTGACTGACTTCAGTAAACTAAAATATAGGTCCCGGCTACACATTGAGCAGGAGCCGAGAGTTGCTGTGTCCTGCTTCAAACCTCGCTTCAAAAAGCTGTACATTGCAAAACGTGCTCATTGTAGC